TGAGGGAACACTGTGTGGGCGTTATCTGATTTCCTGCGCTTATATTTTATGTTTTAAGTCACCTTCCCCCCCCCCCCCCCCACTTCCCCCCACCCCCCGTCCTTCAGTTTAAACGCTTGGAGCGTGGGGACAAAGATGTACATTAGAGAAGAAGGACACTTGACACATAAAGTATTTTTGAAGGAAATCAGATAACGCCCACACAGTGTTCCCTCAAGTAAAATGCCTTAAACGCTAATAGCAAAGCTCCTAATGGTTTAATAAGGGCAATATTTCGAGTTTCTGCTCTTTAAACTACTTTCTTTGACAATCAAGTCCTAGAAATACTGACAAAATTGCAGCAAGGAAGGGTTTATATTGAATTCTTTGGTACCACTGCTGGCATGAAAGGCAGTGCAAGGCTGCAAAATAAAAGCTGAAATCAAGAACAGAAAACAGAAGTATGTGATAGGATGAAAGTTTGAAGTTTAGCTCTGAAGAAAACCCTGGTTTATTACATCAGACAATTCTGCATAGGTTGCTCCGAAAGTAATGCCTTCCATTTAATTCCATGAAAACCACAACATATATATAAAGCATAATAATACTATCTGATAGGGCAAATTCTCAGCTACAAAATGCTATTTTTTCAACACAACCACAACCATGAATTATACATTTTTACCAGCAATGATCTGTACTGTGCTGTGTACTGTACTGTACCTGTGTACTGCAATTATAAATATCTTCACTAGCAGATGTGCCCCACTGTCATTGCTGTTTCCACTGCTGAAATGCACCCATCACCTCACTGTGCTCAAAGCCTCTGTTTGGTGTGCACAAACATTCAGTAAGCACCAATGAATATCACTGGGGGGCATTTTTTCCACATGGAGAAATAAAATTCCACACCTTTGCTTCGTACGCTCTTCCATGTCAGACGCCATTTTGTCAGACTGCCCCTCTGCAGGCATCTGTCACATGGCAACAACATGTAATGGAATATTACTGGGAAGGTTCAGTCTCTACTGCCAAACTGCCAACATCCACCTCTGTTGTTTTGGTACAACATAATAATAAAATAGAAGGCATTACTTTTGGAACAGACTTCATATTTCTAAGAGTAATTTTGAGTCTGTATTGGAGTAGTACAACACACTGCAGGAAAGCACCAGAAATGCCTGGAGATAACAAAAGCATAAAGCATTTGTTCATTCAAAAAAAGAGCATCACCAAATAGAAAGATGTGGGATTTTAGAAAATATTTTAAAAGGAGAATTTTAGCACCCCCTCCACCCCCACCCCACCAAAGTCCTTATTAAGTAGTGAGGTTTGTGGTTTTGTTTCAGTTCATCTTAGCTTTTTCCCCTTCTATTTGCATAGCACTAGCACTTAGCAGAGAAGGATGCAAGGATTTTACTGCTTTGAAAGTGTAACAGAAAAGTATGTGATCCACTGAAATAAGAGGAAGAGACATGAGACCAAAGAAGACATCATTCTTAGTCTTGCCTGCAAAATACTTGTCAGAATAAAGCTGTACACTGAGCACAGCATTTAATATTTTGCTCTGTTTCATAATCTGTATCTGGAACTGAGCTAACAACTTGTTATGTTAGACACAGACATTAACGGCTGGCAGGCATGGAAAGTAATAGACATTAGCTGGATGTAAGTTTGCACTATTTTTGCTCATTTTTATATACTGCTCTCCTTGAAGGTAGTAGTTACAACTAACTATGAAATAAACTGGTGCTAGCTATATCAGTTTGCCTTAGGAATACTATTAGTGTGATATGTCAATGGTTCCATGCTGCTCAGCTTAAGTTTACAATGTTGAATCTAACGTGCTGCAAATTCACAGTTTGCTTAACACTATTTTCTGTGTATAAATGAATCCACAGTGGACTGTTACAAAGTACAGTTACAGTTTTTTACTTTAAATTTCAAACTAGTACCACATGTATGTTATGAGATGTATGATCAGAGTTTCAGAAGTCTTACAAGCCCATCTGAATATTCAGTAACTGCCTGGTGTACTGTGTTATTAAGTGCCTGACTCATCTTGTTCACAATAAAGAAAAACCCACAAAAATAAGCCAAAACCCTGAAGTGAATTTTCATTTTCACAGTGAACATGAGTCAAAACACACATAATTTAGCCAAAGTGTTCTTTGTTTTCTATATTCAGAACATATGAATACTGTAGTGTAGTGCAAAGTATAATCTCAGTCTTGTGATAGAATGCATCTGAATTGTATACCGAGCTTTCTGTTGGCAAGTTGCAGTTTAACAATGTACTGAGAGGTTATCTGCAAGCTTTTAGTGTTTCTCAGTGGTTATTTTAAGAAAGACCTACACTGACATATGCCTTCTGATATTTTCAGTGGGCACACAAGTTTAAAGAACTGGAAATCAGGCTATAAGTATCTAGACCAACATGTCTAATAATTTACAGCATTTCTGGCTCTGTTGTGCCAGGGAAGTTTGTGAGATCAGATTCTATACTAAGAACCACATGAATTATCCATTAAGATTAAAGATAGAAAAAAATGGTTTCCATTTAGTTGTAATAATAGTAAGTACTGATTCTTGACAACTTTTAAGAATCTCAAATTCCTCTACTATGATCAAAGTACCAGAGGTCACTAGGACGTAATGTTTGTAATGGTGCTTCTGGATACTCTGTCGGATGGTCTTTCGTGGAAGCCTGAGACTCAAAAAATGGCTCCAGCCAAGTGATTAAAATTCCTTTATATCATGGGGTTCTTTTGAAATCAGAGATGTGTGAATATGATGCCAAGAGATTATGGAAATGAATATCCAGGAGTGGCTGCTACACAATAAAACCTGACAAACCATAGCTGTTCAGCATGCTGCATTCATAAAGAATGCAGTTAAGCAAGTTGTATAATGAAGAAGAGCTACTTACTAGAAGGAAGCAAAATACAGCTTTTATCCTGATGGATATTTTTCCTAAATGCTTGGTTGGTACACCAGATGGAATGTCTCCTTCAGATTTCCAGCCTTTGTAAACCTCAAGGATTTATTCTAACTCTGTTTATTTATCCCACTCTTCCCTCTAAAAATCTGAAGAGCTCCAATGGGAAAATTGGGAATAAAAACATTCTGTTCTGCAGAACAAAACAAATATTTTTTGGGACTAAAATGCATAAAGACTCTTTTACAAACACAGCAATAACGTATTCCAGTGTCTCAATGTGCAGCTACAGGCCACAAATGAAGTGCTGGAAAAAGTTTTACGCTAACTTCAGGGTTCCCTTCAAATGTGCTGTGATGAAGGGAAGGTATGAGTGCTGCTTACACTATAGAGTGTTCAAGCTCTACTTTTGAGTAAAGTGCCTTTTGATAGCAAATGTATGATTTGTTTCCCAGGAATTTATTTTTGTTTCTTTACATTTTGAATCTGAAATGGCATAAAGACAGTTTGTTACAATGGTTCTGTTTGAGAGGATTTTGAAGAGAGAGTAACTATAAATCAGAAAAGGAAATAACAAAAAATCCGAAAAACTTCTTTTCTGTGGCTATATTAGTAGGACAAGCATTTCAGTGTGTCTAGTAGCACCTGTCATTCAGTTCTTTCGAATTTACATATGAGTATATAAATAATATAAAAGAATTTCCTAGCTACTGAAGATTCTTGCCACATGTTTGCAGTGCACAGCTAAGTGGCTATTGTATCTCAATTATATTTTTATTTTATTTAGAGGAAAAAAGATTTAAAAAATCAAATTGAAATTGGATATTTAATTCCAATTAATTCTCTTGTTGCTCTTGAATGTGCTTATATTTTGAGATACTTAGAAAATGGAATGGAATAGGATAGATGCTGCATATTTCAGTATCTAAAATGCAGTTAATGAAGAAGGTAAAACTGGGAAAACTTTTTAATATAAGGACACTTGGAAGTTCTGGGTAGCGCATGTGCAGAGACACAGAGGACTCCAAATACAAATGATTAAAATACACAACTTCTGAATCCACACTTACACAATAGAGTGAATACAATAGAGTACCAAAACATCATTGGTACTATTTTCATACAACTTAAAGAAGACGGAAGGTTCTGTTTTCTAATAGAGTGAAGAAGTCAGTATGAAGTGTATAAATGAATAAAAACAAAAGATTTTTTTTTTTTTTTTGCACTGTAATCTACATTTATGATGCATTTACAATGTATTTCACATAAAATGGAACCTATATCCTAACTCTTTTAGTATACTTAAAGCTCATATAAAACTTTAAGTATGAAGTAGGGATGCATTACAATGGCATCATCTTTTATAGCTTACCAATGAAGACCCCTTGTACACACCAGAACATTTGATTTTAGAAAGATGTACGCAGTTTGGTCCTCGAATAAAGAGGATGAAAAGGAAGATCAGTGTTTCTAAGAGTAGATGAGGGTGTAGCCCTGTAGGTAATTCTGAAACATCCTCCTGAGCAAGATCCACTTTGGCAGCCATACATGCCTTCCTTTATTTGCTGACAGCAAATTGAGGCCTCCTCACACAGGCAGTAGCACCACAGGGAACACAACCAAAATTATAACAGACAGCTGTTACTTCATTGCCTGAAGACTTCAAAGAACATCTATTATTTGCAAAGAATTTCAGGACCACTCTAAAATTGCTGTTTTTCTCTACAAATGCACCATTCATAGCATGTAATACCTAGATCCTCTCTCCCATACTATAGAGCACAAAATCAAGACAAGAATAGCAATTCTCTGTAGGCTTGACTGCTTGTAGGCTTGACTGCTGCAACTATTCTGCTCCCTCTGAGCCTGAAGACATGGATAAGTGGTGTTTACTACAGAATCTTTGAAGAAGTGGCTGCAACATGTTTAGGTTTATACCATTCACTTGATTATGTCTAGCATGTACAAGAGATATTCAGCACATACCTCATTTGTTCCCCCAACTGAATTTGTTCTGTGATTTCAGGATAAGCGTAAGTCCTAGTCCTGTTGCTAAGCTTGTATTTGGAACTGCTGGAACGTACTCAACTTCATCTGACTTCTGATTCATGCTCTAGATTGGGACTCAGAACATTAGAATGTAAATATTTTTGCTGTGTTCCGAACAAGCTGCGTAACTTTGAGAAAATTATTTATACCCTTCTGTCCTTAAAAACATCTAAAAATTTTATAAACATATGGAAAAACAGTATTTACATAGCTGACAAAGCGATCATCAGGAGGTGCTCAAATACACTGGTGACAGACACCACAAGTAAGTGGGCTTGTAACTCTGGAACCTTGTCCTTCAGAGCAATAAATGTCTTCTGCAGAACAGAATAAAACACATTAAAGACATTTGCTCTGTTTATAGAAATAGAAGATTTAAATTTTTGTACCATTTCAGCCTAGACTATATGGATCCAACTGTATATGAGTCTGAGTCTTTAATACGGCACAGTTCTACTGAGCTCTGACTGCTTTAGGTTGGATTAATGTTGCTGTCAAAAATCTGCAAGAACTAATTTGGGTGTGATCAGTTCTGCTCTGATACATTTTAGTATGTATACCTGGCATACTGCTACTATGACAAGGGAAGAAAAAGGGGTTGAGGACTAATAAGAAGAGATGCACAGAAGCACCTGCAGTTATTTGACTTATTTGAGAGTTGCAGTTACAGCCATACATACAAAAACACATCTTGGCCAACTGAAAGTAAATGCTAGAAACACTGAGATCTGCAGGCAAAGTGTTCTGTGAACATAATGGAGAAGGCATAAGTTACTAAAATCATAGTTGTTCTTACAAGTTTCAGTATAATGTTGTTAACTGCAAGAGGTGATGGATACAGTACTTTTCATAGGAGGAAGGAAGAAAAGACTATAACACAGATTATTAGAATGATCTCAGGGCCATTTGAGTTGGCTTTACTCAGCAGTTTTGTAAGCCTTGACAGTATTAGATGGTAGAGTTTCCACTATTAATGATGTAAATTTTAGTTAATATTTTTCAAATCTGTCCTCCTAATTTTCTGAGAAACAGCCATTTATGCTAATGAATGCTGTTCAGTCTTGCTTCCATCTCTAGCTTCATCATACATTATTCTTTCTTAACTAAGTACAGTCAAGCTTTATACAGTTTTTCTCATAAAATTGTAATAGAGAAAAATTGACAAAATGCTCATTTTGTTTTATCACTCTGAACAAGCCAGTTCCAAAGATCTCAGTGACAATAACATTAGAATAAAATAAAATTGAGTGGAAACAGACAAAAGGGATATACAGACAAAAAGTCAACAGAAAAGAAGCTTGAAAAAATTTATTTAAGGCTATTATTTAATATCCTTAAAGCTTAGCCTTTTTATAACAAAGGTTTCAACAGGGATACTCACTTTTCAGACACTTACAGCTGCCAGCCCTAGATAATAACTGGTGATTGAATCATTTGCGTGCATAAATCAATTTTTAGAAAAATAATTTCATAAGTAAATATAAATGGAGTTATTTCAGTCCAAATAAGTGGAAAATATAAAGAAGTGGAACTTCCATAATCTTAAAGCTATTTTGATAACCATCCCTTAGATGATAGGTATTCCATATATAATCCTTTGGCAACATTAAATGAAACTACAATTATTTCCTGGCATGCAAGGTGACATAGCTTTGTTACACCCAATGTAAATGACAATATAGATTTCAGAATCTCTTCGTAGCTGGCAATTCAGGCAGTGAAGATCTTCATTTATCCCATTTTTATCCTGCATTCTTATTGATATTCTCCCAAAAGGTCTCTGGAGAAAAAAAAAGAAAAAAGAAAAAAAAAAGTAATTAGACATAACATAAATCTCACAAGATTTGTCACATATGCATCATATGCATGAAATATATTTTTTCTTGTTAAGAATTAGCAGATATTATTTCCACAAATTCCTTAATGCTTCTCTCTAATAAAAGACTGAAAACTATTCCTAAAGGAAAAGATTTTAAATGGTTTCAAATAGATGACTTTCTTAAATTAATTATTTCAGTGCTTAACCATAAACAAACACAAAAATATGAAATTGTTATTCAAATCCATGTTTTAACTATACATGTTTTTTTCTGTTTCGTATTTCTGAGTTTAATTAGAGAGTTGAGGTCCTTTAGTAGTCAAAAGGCAAAGTTAATAAATTTTTGCAATGGACACACAATATTTTAGAAAATCTGGCCTACACACATGCCTTAAGAGGACATTGCGTTAGTTCTGAAATGCTTTGTTAGTGTCAACAAATAACCCTCAAATATTAACCTGTTTATAGAGCTCAGATAGAAAATGCTCTTCTCCCAGCAGCGTTTGCCTATATACAAAGAAATTGAAGAGCGGTTCTTAAATTGCTTTTTGGAATGACTTCACTTTAGAGCAACATACCCTTGTTCAGCGCTGTCTATAATGTAGAGTTTGTAACACTGTTACATGTATTCCTACTTAAGAGAAAAGTGAGTTGTATTTTCACTGTGTGTGACAAATACATTTAAAAAAACCCAATATATTAAGATAAATATGATCAAAATTCAGGCACCTTTGGGTAACTTTTGTGTTAATCAGCCATTTTAGGAACTCTTTGGCAGCCATATCATCCAGAATTTTGTTGATATCACTTGTGAAAGTGCCATCTGCGTGTCTTCGGCCCATTTCTTCAGCCATTAAAGCTTTTTCTGGGAAACTTCAAAGGAAAGAAGTTATGAAACAATTCGTAAGTCCAAAGCAAAAAGTGATAAAAAGGCCTTATTACAGGTCCTTAATTACTGAAAATTTCCTTTTATTTTAAAAGGTTAAAGGTTGAACCAGATGTTACGGCTCTCAGAACATCTTACAAAGCATTATTTTAACAGAAGAAAGCATCAGATTCTCCCTTCACCAGAAGGGACTCTTCCTTCAGACTTCCTCTAGTCTAGATTCCTCTTTTGTGTTTTTCATGAATTTTCTTTGAAAGCTACAGATGCAAAAATGTAACTAAAGTCAACACCATCTATGCCAAGTAAATTAGGCGTCAATAAAACTCACAGTAGATTTACGAAGAATCATTTTTTAAAAGAAATATCACTACTAAAATATTACAGTAAAATTTTCATATGGATTTTTCCATTTGACTCTTGAAGTCCTAGTTTTATATTTACAGTTATGTTGCATAGGTATTTAAGCAGTAAAAGCAGCAGCTTTTGGGGGGGGGGGATAAAATAACTGAATTCAAGTATCTGTATTAAATTTACGTGCTTTTTTTGTTGCACAATAGAATTTTGTATTTGGAATCCTATTGCAAATCTTGATGCATCCATTTTTGACCACTGGAAAGCCAGTTTACCAAGTAGTTTATTTAGAAAGCTTGTTTTAAACCATCAAATAAAGGAAGATTTTTCTAGGTTCCAATGAGGTTTGCTGATTGAGGCACACTGTGTTCTGGGATCAGTGACAGGCAAACTGTTTTTTTTAATGTACTAATTTTAGGAAAAGCTACATTCAAGTCTGACTGCAAATAGCACTAAATATTAGGAAGTAGGAGGCTGCTATGTATGTAATTGCTTGTCTAGGTTTTTAAACTCAGGTCATCAGAACTCAGTTGTAATCTCTCTTTGTTGTAAATACTAAAATAACCTATCTCTGCTCATGTAAATAAAATATAACAGAACAAACAGCTGCAGATCTGAACATCACCTGGAAGTGGCACCAGCCTTTCCTTTATCTTTATAGCTTGATCTCATTTACTTAGCACTGTTTTTTCATCATTATTTTCAAAATTTACTTTTACCTAGTTAGTCTTCCTTGACTACAACACACAATCTTGTCTTACAGATTATATTTTATTGTTGCTGTTATTTATTATTTTTAGATAATATGAGAGATTTACATAGTACTTTACAGCTAGCAAAACATATAATAATGGGATGAACTGAAATCCCTGCCCCGAAGAGCTTACAGTCTAAAGGCACAAAAAAGTACAGAACAGTTAAAAGGTAGTGAGTGGCATGTGCATGATGTAGCTTCTAACCACACTGACTTGGAATGGTGATAAGACAGAAAGTGCCTGAAATTAAGGCTGTTCCAAGAGTAAGTCTATTATGAAAAAGGTACAAAGTCACGAATGAGCAAGTGAAGTGAATAGGTTTGAGAAATCTGCACTGAATATATGGAGAGCAAGATAATGAAAAAAATCCAAGATGTACCTGAATCAAAACTATGGAGCTGAGTCTTGGAAACTGTGAAATACAGCAAAAGAAATAAAGATGCTTTAAAAAGGAAAATAAGGGATAGCAGTAGGAAATTATGGTTATTTTTGATGCTATAATTTGTGGAGACTTTGCAGATAATAGGTAGAGCAAAAGAAGACATTAGTAACTGCTGGGAATGATCACCAGAGCATGGAAAACGGCTGTGGTGGCAGTGACATTGGTACAAATTTAATCTTGGAAATATTACAGAGAGAATGACTGACTACAGAGGCAGAGAAAAAGAGAAAGAAATTTAAGATGACACTAACATGACTCATTTCTGTGACAGTTAAGGAGACTGTAAGCAATGTTATATGATGAGGAAAAGGTGATAATTAGAGGAAACTCTGGTTTAGTTTTAGATATATTGACCTTAAATATAATTTGACCTTTCAGAGTGTAACAGTATATTGAACACGCTTATTTCAATCTATGCTTGAACTTAATAACTTAAGATGGTAGTCTAACAGCCACGCAGTATCTTCTATTACAAAAGGAAAATGTGAAGTACAGTAGAAATGATCAAAAATACATCATGATTTCATAAGATTTGATTTCTAACCTTGAAAGCAAAGCAAAATTTAATAATAGGAATGGATGGATTCTTACTCTCTTCTTCCTCGTCCATTCACTAACCAAGCAATGAATTCTTTGGCAGCTTGACCTTCCAAATAAGAGGTGATATCACTGGTGTAGGTGCCTTCAGCATGTCTCTCAAATTCGGAATGACGCTTGGAAATTGCATTGCTGAAAGAGGAGCAATAGTCTAGGATCAGACATCATTATTTATCATTTATTTTTTTTTTTACCATTTAATAATTTAAATTTCCCACTAAACATTCTGTATCAGAGAGAGAGTTTTTCTTTGCTTCTCTTTTAATCTTGATATTTTCATTTTTCAGTTCTGAAAGCAACATATATGCTACACACAGTACAGTTTTGTGTTAACTGAACTAGCTGTAAAAAAATAAGATACTGAAAGCATGTATAACTGCATTGGAAAGATCTTCTGCTAGGTAAATTAGCTCAGCACAGCAGACCACCATATTCTACAGACATACTTTTTGTTACCTCTAACTGCAGTAACCAAAAATTCCATTAAGCTACTCCTTCTGTGCTCATCATTATTTCTCAGCCAAACTCCTCAGACTTATATTTTTGAGACATTACTCTGCATCATTTTGAATTGTTTTGTGAATATCCATTGTTTTCAGCAAAGTAATAATTTTGGAACAATTTCAAATTTCAAACTTGATAAACTCTAGCTTAATAGAAAAGAAATTGCTTCCCAATCCTACCCCTGCTTCTTTTTCTAATTTATAGCAAAATTATGTCACACTGACCCTTAGGAAGACAAGCTGCACTGAGAAATAGATGTGTTCCCTTGAAATTTCCCCTGAAATAGAAAGTTCCCTTGAATTTCTATTTCAGAGTTTGCTGATTTCTGCCAAATTTTCAGGGCCGTTAGTGTTTTGTATAATTTTTTTGTCTTCCCGAGATTTCACCATTCCTCCCAATTTTGTACCATCTGCACTTTCTATCAGAATTTAACTAGAGTTTGAAACATTTGTGATAAAACATTTAATTTTGTAACGATATGCTGTTTCTGAAGCTGAAAGATTTAGTATTATATTGACAGCATTTAGATCAGAAGGGTTATTGTAATCCTCTGGATTTTCTGACAAAAGAAAAAATAAATCTAAGTATTTCTATCTATTTGGCAAACAGAGATTTGTTGTTGTGGTTGTTGTTATTTTCAAATTTCCAACCCCTCGACCTCTCTTCTAGAATCACAGGAAACAAAATTTAAGCCTTCAGCCCAAATTGTTTTGTTTTCTTTTTTTTCTTTCTTTCTTTTTTTTTCCCAACCTCATTCTCTACTACTCTCCTCTATTATTTGGGATATGTTTTCCTGGTATGTCTTATTCTCATGCTATTGCAATTTTGAAGTCATTGCACATAGCAAAAGCACACATGTACAGACATGAAAAACGGATGTTTTTTCTTTCCTCATGGAAAGAACAGATGTAGCATAATTTCTTTTTATAAGTATTTCTCTGATTTTGTTAACATTTTAGAGAATATCAGTTTATTTTTTTTGACAGAAAATTAACTCAACTTTTTTTGAATAATAATTTTGTAGTAAATAGACTACCTTGAGAGATGGTCTGGGAATTTGTCATTCTCTTTGTCCTCCTGTCCTTGTTGGCTGTAGGGGAATTCCACAACCATTAGATCATTATTAGCAGTACATTGCAGAGCATGAATGAGCTGATAAAATTCTATTGGTCATTATCTATATATTATCATAAACAATCATGAATGATGGGTGAACATTATAAATATTTTTAGTCTTATGTACTTAAATTAATACTGTCTCTAGAAATGATTACTTTAAAGATTTCCACAGTGATTTAAAAGATTAATATAACAGATTTTTTTATTCTGTGGGCAGATCTTCTCCAGAATGCAGGGCATAGAATTACTTGCTACTTCATTATTCATGTTAGCCTTTGTTTAAACAAACTGTACCTTCAGAAAACCATGCCAGCTTATGCCTCAAAAGAACACTTGTAAACCATTCATTGATTAAGCTTAATCTCAGCTCACTTTTCACAAATGAAACTTCAGGATTAAAGCAACCACAGGCAGAAAATTCTATTAAGGCTCATCAGCTATATTTTTACCCAATATTTGTGTACCTTGTACATATTGAAATTTGTTTCAGTGAATGAAGTATCTGTCCCAAAAAGGTAGAGATACAGTCTCATTTTAGATCACAAATTAGATAATATAATGACACTATGCCTAATTTATCCAATCAGTTTTTACTAATGTTGTACATATGTACATCTCTAATAACACATTAAAGTTCTATATAAATTTTCTCTAAGTACATTAGTAATTTGAGGATTACATGTGGTCTGTGACAGGAAGCTGAAATAAAGAAATTGAATTCATTCATATTTTTGGCTATTTTATCAGCATGGATAGAGCAGTGTGTCCAAAAACTCTTACCCATTTCTTTTAGTGCTCATTAACCATTGCACAAAATCCTGAGCTCGTCTGCTGTCCAAGTATTTACTGTAGTCACTGGTGAACGTGCCTTGTGAATGACGCTTTACTTCATTCAGCTGCCTGGATTCATCTAGTGGTTCAGATTGGGAAGCTTTGAATGATCTAAGAAAAGTTTAGAAGATGTTATCTGGCAATAGCTGCAGTACATTCTACAGGTGTACTAACATTTCTTTTAGCAATATCATTTATAAAGTGAAAAAAAGTGGCATATTTTTGGTTGTTAGCAGGCTAGTAAAATGAAACAATATTGTAGCTTGGATACTGCACATTTTACAAGGTTTATTGGAAACAAAAGCACTATTATTTAAAATAACAAAAACTACTGTGCCACACTTTGCAACATTAAAAGCTTTTACCAGTCCCAACGGTAGATTAAGTACTTTCTATAAATCATGATATGCTTTGCTTTGAGGAATAAGAAAGCAAAGTTCAGGCTAAGGGTTTCTAGGGGTTTGATCTAAAGAATTTACCTTGATTTCTCCTCCGTATCCTGAAGAGGATTTTGCCAGCTGCCTTGAACTATCATTAAAAGGAGTCCAGCAATAAAATAAATATTTTTCATTTTCATTGCCTGTCAAAATAGAAATAAGGCAACAAAGAAATATGCAATCTTATTTACTTATCACTGAATCAATTACATCAGGAAAAAACATCATCAGTGCTGTTCTAAACATGAAGAAAGTGAGATCCTGTGTAATGAATGGAGTCTAAAGTGCCTTGGGCAGACATTCAAAAAATGTTGTTTCTGCTCTAGTCTTTAAGCTTTATTCCGTATTCAGGATAGTAAGGTGAGCTGAGAGTAGATGTATTCTTTGTAAAAGGTCCTTATGTCCTTTGTTTAAAGTTCTGCTGATGGCAAGCATTGTATCTATTTCCATAACATCATTTTACTGCAAAACTAGGGCAGTGATATGACTTCTCCTCTTTCCTTTAGTAGAGACAAAGTAAAGCAAATTTCTGTCAGGAAAGCTGTCGTATCAACAGCTCCTTGTTCTTTCTGACCAGTAACACTCCTTTAACTTTGTTACTTTTTCGAAATAACACATATTGCAACAGTAGACCTCTTGAGTAAATGGCACATTATTAGGTGACTACTTAGAAAAAAAAATTAAGCCTCGCAGTGGCTTAACAATTTATGGCAGGATATTCCAAGCTCTGCTTCTTGCATCTTTACACAATATTCTGTTTTGCTTAACTACTTCTACTATGGGGTTTCATGGGATACACAAGATTTAGTCTATAGACTTTGTCTTAATGTTAACAAATCGAAGAAGAAAATACTGTCTTCCAGGAATAGATCTTACTGTTTTAGGTCATTCTATTGACTTTAGTCACACAAAAGAAATGGGTACACTGTTATCACAAGCACTCTAATATTTTCAAGACTCACTGACTTTATTGTGAGATTATACAATGTAATTCATTGTATTTCTTTATTTACAAATGTACTGGTGATTTACAGCCAAGCTGTGTCTTATTTGAGTAAGTGACTGGCTTACTTGTGTAAGTAGTTCAGTTGAAACTGTTATTGAATTGTCACCATTGCAAAAAAAGCATAATCCAATTTTCTAATTAGGTGCCATGATTTTCATTATTTAATATATTAATAGCTCAGTTGACACATAATCCTGTGTGGGGCAAAGTGTTTATAAAATGAATGCTTTTATTTGGGTCTTACAAAACTCTGGCAAAACGGACTACGATAGTTTAATAGTCTGAAAAGCACTGACATTGTTTGTGTAAGCAGGAAATGAAAGGAAATCTGCTTACAAAATTCGTAAGTATTGTTTATTGTTCACCGATGTTTTGATCACTTAAATTTGTGGAATGGCTGTATAAACAAGGAAACTGATTTGAAATGTTGCTGGGTGCTTTCAAACACACAATTCATTCAAGGAGTAAATGTTAAATCACCGAATAATGAATAGTAAATATTCCTGAATTCACATGTTCAAAATGTCACTAGAAATAATTTTATCATTATCACGAACTTGGACTGATACTTGGCTATTTGACGAAGCTCTTCTGCTATCCATGAAATCTTCCTATAGAATTTTATGTTACAGTCTGAAAAACAAAGTGAAATAGGGAAGATGAATGCACTGAAGTAAAGTCATAGGTGGTATAATAGGACCCAGCTATAAACACCATTTCCGCTAAATGTAATCTGCACTAAACTTCTCCAGCTCTGATAATTTGATGTGTAAATTCAATTTGAAAGAAAATACATATATTCTCTATGCCTTGTCATAATAGGCTGGATTTAAATATACAATGCCTGGAGGAATTCAGGCTATTTTGCTTCAATACCTCAATGCCAATATCAAAATATTTAGTCATCCAAAATCTTAATTAAATCTGAATTAAAAATGGGAAAATAAATTGATGAATATAAGACTTCCTGGTGGATTTTATTTTATTATATTAAACAAAGGAGTCAATTTCTTTGTCTCTATCAGGAGCTGTACCTTTTTTTCCCCCCCACACTGTGTGTAATGTGTTTCTTTTGTAATGCTTTTGTAATGCTGTCATATATGAGATTTGTTTCCTACATCTCCATAAAACATACCTGCAGTAACAACAAATAATGGAGTGGACATGTAATCATTCAGTCCTATTATAATCTTAACTATTATATCAAACTCTTTTTGCTATTTCAGTTGGAGCTGTAATTTGGTGGTGCAACACTGACATCCAATGTTAGTCCCAAAGAATGCATAATTTCACATTTCATAGGCTTTCAGGGACACAACAGAAGCTCTGGCTTATTCTTAGGGAGATTATTCTCTATGATCACAAAAACGGCTTGATTTTTGTGTAGCTACCCTCATGCCCTCATGACACAGCTATAAATGTGTTAGCCCAGACACCAAACAGAGTCCAGGTATTGCACTATACATAAGTAAATTTCCCATGTGTAATGGTATACAAACTAACTAGTATACTTAATTTGAAAAACTAGAACAGGATATATACTTTACTACTGCTTGTACCACTGTTAAATCATGATAAAGTTTAGACATAAACCTAAGACACTGAAACGGAGAGAAAGAAATAGCCTCATCTTTAATCCAGTCTGTTTATAATAATATCAGACAAAAAAAGCTATTGTGATGTATAAAACCTGAAAATAAATATTTAAAGCCCAATGTAACTGACAAACAGATTTACAGTGATTTAATCATATCTTGAGCGAACTCTTGGGTCTCGGTTCTATAAGGCTTTTAGATACAAGCAGTCCCACTAGCTACTTTATGCATTAAAAATATGTTTAAATTTAAATGTACATAGAACTTGTTTATAAATTTTTAAGAATCAAATTCTGAGAAGATTAATAAAAAGAAAGCTGTATAAATGCAGTTTTGGAAATTAATCACATTTTCAAGTAAGAGAAACCTGGCCATCAATAGAATAAACATTTTAAAATGCATTGACTAGCTGTTAAACCTCTGTCAAATATATTTTCCTAAAAATTTAGAAACTGTTTAGTTTGTTCAGAGTTTAGCACTTGTCATTTCTAATCCAAACCAGCAACAGCTGTTTTCTAAAAGTTAAAGAAAACGTATTTAAAGAAAAAAATTCTATTATAAAATGAAAAACACAGGGAATCTACTATTAGGATGCAGGAAAACTAAAGCTAATTTCTCATAGTGCTTATGAAAGACATATCAAAAGGATCTCACTTTGAGCTATCAGAAAGCATGAAATGAATATTATTTTCTTGATCAAACTGATTTTTTGTTTTCCCACGTATTTTGCTGTAGTTATCTACTGCACACTGTGTAAATTATACTAATTTAATGTTACTGAGTTTTCAAAAAAAAAAAATTCTTTCAAAAGTCAGATTTGTATCCATTTCCAATTTAAAAAGTATGGAATGACATCAGTAAAAAAAAAAGAGGAATATTAGAAATGAAAATATTTCTGGAGATTTCTGTAAAAAACAATCAATCGTTCCAGCTAAGGAAGTCCAGACCAGAAAACTGAATTAAATTTTATACAATAAGCAAAATAACTTCAAAGGTTTTATTTTTTTTCAATGCTATAAAATTTCCCATTGAGATCCTACAGTGATATGAAAATAACAATTTTTTGAGATGGACTAATCTGAAAGTAAGGCAACGGAGTGGTAATCTGTAGGGTGATGTGGTAACAAGCTGTTTTGGACAATTTTCAGTCAATATCCATATAGACCCATTTATTTTGTTTGTATTTTCCTATGTTAATCTATATTGATTCATATTTAGGAGGGAGCTGTAAGAAATGAATATTTTAAAAATAATGTTCATTAACTATCCCTGAAGTAGATAAAAACATAAATATCAATAGTTTTGTATTTCACATTTAAATTATTACAATGCCTGTTTTGCATCTTTACATGCTTAACTTTCCTCGTTTCAACTGCTTCTGCAATCCTAGTAATTGATGTTCATTTTGGGATTAATTCTGTTAAACTAACTCCATAGATTAAAAAAATTAAATGGTGATGCCATTAATTTCAAACATTAAGTAGTATAACCACAGAGGAAAACAACAGTTTTTTGAAAGATCCTGCATCTCTGTTGCAATCTTTGGACAATACAATTCAGAAAATGCATTCAGCTTTCTCAGATGAATTGTACTAGTACTTCACATAAATCTTACCTTTTGTATTTTGAAGCGATACGTAGCAGTTGTAGAAAGATCTGCTACTCTCTCTTCTGGAACTATGGAAAGCCTTGAGGATCCTGAGATCTGCCTAGCTGCCTCTTTTGCACGGACTTATATATATACACTGTTCAGCTCTAGTAAGCATTACCAGAGTGCATCATTGCTGACAGTTTCCTTATCCAACTTTAAAAAAAAAAGTCATCGTATTTGCTATTCATTTCATTTGATGATTTTACAAGCAATTTCACACATTCATTCTGCTTACTTTATGACATCAGTGCTAACATGGATTTGCAAAAAGAGTAAGGTAGCAATGTTCAAATAAGTAAATATCAAACAGAAGGGCATTAGGATGGTAAACAGTTGGCTAGAGGTGCTTAGGATTAAGGCAGAAGTTTCTCCAAATTCTGAATTGTCACATTAGAATTAATCAAAACACTTAGTTTTAGGCAAAATCCTGGGCCTGTTGACATTTGTAGCATCAACGGAAGCTATCAATTTCAAATCTAAATTTACAGATTTAATATCCTATTAATAATAATCAACATTACTCCCCCAAAGTGCTTCATTAATTTTTAGGTAGACTTATGCCTATATTATGAACATAAAGAAGCACTTTTATTTTGAAGAACTACAGCAATGACTACCCACTATGCAAAGCCTAGCCCAGGTCAAATTTAACAACAAAAAAGACTTGATTATCCTTACATGCATTATGCCAACTCTACTGAATGGTATTTCATACCCACTAGAGATCTGTATGCCAGACTTCTATTTAAATTGGGTTTCAAGCCATGGTCTACAGGCTTATACAAGATAACCTTTTTGCTCACATCTCTGTTCCCTACAAGGAAATAATTATAATAAAAAATATAGGTGTGAGTTTCATACTTGTATATGCTCTGTACAACTATTGCCAAGGTCCTAAATATTCACTAATAGATGGGGGGAAAACTCATATCTGTGATGGGGCAGCACTGACACAGACTGCGTTGAGCCATCTGGTGACAACAGTAGGAGAAACTGACAAATCTTGTCAGTGTCCCTGGCAGCTGAAAAAAAAGCCCACCAGTAAGGAATACGGGTGTTTTATCCTGTTGGTGAAGCAACAAGCAAGATATCCTCTGTCAAGGAATTCCTACAGAGCTTCCCTTATGGATTTTCTGACATACAATAATTCTTTTTAAAATGAAAAGTGCACCAAAACCAAAATATTATTATCATATATAGAGGGTACTATGCATCAAGCAGAGATATTAAATATTAAGGACTTCACTTTCAGTTTCAGTTCTGATCAGGAGGAAGAAAGGTCTGGATTTACAGCTGACATCTCACTGGACATAAATAACAGCCTGTATTCCAGTGTAGAATGACCATCAGTTAATTTTGGCACAAAAATCCACAACCTCTCTGGGCAGCCTGTTCCAGCACCTCACCACTCTCTCTGTAAAGAACTTAAAGACCTAGTCTGGTTTGAAATGAAAAGAAAGCCCCAGAATTACCATGTCCTAGGCAGTGTAATATTGAAGACATAATGCCCACAGAGCCAATATTAACCCGGAAACTATCTTAAGCTCAAAAAATCTAGCTGTCTTCCTGAGAAGCCAGTTTCACTGTGACACTTCATCTTCATATCTCAACATTATTTTTACTTGCAATTTAACACTGCAATGTCATGTGGTAATTCCAGAACTAAATATTAGAAGGCACTCTGTCCCATGAATTTCATTAACTTTACATCTCCTGCAGGCAGGCATGCTCCCTGGCTCTGCAGTACGCTGATACAACAGCAGATGGTGATAAAAGGGTCGTTTAGACCTTTATTTTGCACCAGGATGAAACACTTGTTGAAATAGATTGTCACAGATAATATAATTGCATGTTGAGTTCAACTGCTTAGGTTTCTAAACAGAGAATACAGAATGTGAAACAATACTACCTTCTTCAGGATTCAGGCTCTTTTTATTTGGGTTTGTATACTTTCTTGTCTCAGATGTTTCTTGTTTACAGTAGGATGATTTCAGGAAAAAATATATGAGACAGCAGCCCAGTGCACCTCACTGAGCAGGTTGTTACATGGGCTATCTCATTCAGCAGGTCAATCTCGCATCTAAAAGATGACTGCCTGATTATGTTTTTCAAGTGATACACATACAATAAAGTACAGGAAAGAAATTAACTACCATCAAGAACCATGCACCCGTCAGTTACCATAACTGAATCTAGAGTAATACATATTTATAGAGCTCAGCAAACAAGTTCACTACACTAAACAGAAATAGAAAGATGTCATGCATGTGTGAAGGGCACATTTGTACACATCCTGAACAAAGTTTTTTCCTTTTACATCATAGATGTAAAAGTTAGATGTCACCTCTTGGCTCAAGTCAAGGGCTCACTCTCCTCTGTATTATAGTTCACACTTGCAACAGTACTTCAGATGAATCAGACTAAAAGATAGAACCTGAAAATGACCTGCCTTCAAGAAAGTTACATCTGAATGTTTTTAAAGTATAATTTGGAAATACTAAAAACTCTTTAGTTTGGTTCACCAAATTTGGAGATGATCAAAGTTTCCTAGAGCATCACCTCAGCACCAGGTAATTGCTGCTGTTAGAGACTGTGTATTGTACTCACTGGACCAGGAATCTAGGATGAAATTACAGAAGAAAAATAAGAAAAAAATTCTAATGAGATGTACGTTGACCTATAGATCTGGCACTGAAAAGCCCAGGTGGCATGTCCTTTTATAGAATAGGACTGCACACTTTTTCAAAAATGTCTTGCAAAAAAAAAAAAAAAAAAAAAAAAAAAAAAAAATTCAAGATTTTACTGAACATTTTACTGAATGAGAAAGTTGTTGAATTTTTAAAGTAAAAAAAATACTGCTTTTTCCATGTGTTTTGCTATTAGTACTTTTATATACCTAAAGTATAGGAGAGAGGAGGCTGAATCTTGGGATCTGACTACACGCCCGGTACTTTTTCTTTCTTACATTGCACAGGAAGCATTCTCTCCTAATTTTCTCAATCATGACTACAGAGGCTGAAATGTGTAGCCCTTTTTATTTTCCTATCCTTGCTACGTGATAATGAGGCAAAAAGAGGCCTGCATTCTCCTTCTGGGAACTGATGCAATACATACATGTAGAAACTGACATACGTAAAGCAACTGGAGCATAAATGTTGCTCACATGCCTGTACATGCACAAAATGCATGCATATACTTGTGTGTAGCTCTATGGCTATACCCTGGAGTGTAGAAGCTGCTTTCTGAAAAGGAAGATTAGTTTAGGGTCTCCATGTTCACAGGAAAGAGTTATTGCAACTATGCAAATATCCCACACTATCTACTGACAACAAATTGGAATTGCTCCATTTGAAATCAATGGAGCTTCATCAGTTTGCGCAAGCAGAAGAGCCAGTCAAGTATGTGCTAGTTACTTTACATTGTGAGAAGACAATATTGGTAATTGAAAGTAATACCAAATGCTCTCTTAGCAAATACTATGAATTATTCAGATTAAATATAGACCATTCATAAGACTCTATAAAATAAACCAAACAGCTGTGCCTTGTAATCAGAACTGACTGGCAAACTAGAAAAAATTGAATGCATTCTGATTTTTACTTGTTAGCTAAGTAAAAAGAGTATAACACTAACCATGTGCTGGAGACTGGCTGAGGTTACACTTGGTCTTCCAATGCTGCTTTATTTTCAGACTTCTTTGCAGATGTAGTAATCTCATGTGAAGGAAAGAATGTAGTTCCATGTTTAAGAACGAAGAAACGTAAGTTCATTGATAGATACTGCATAATATTGCTCATTGATTCATACGCGAAGCAGCAGTAAGGGGGAAGATGATGAAAATGGAGGTCGGAGAATGATTAGTAGTGGAACCAGTGGATTTGCTATAGTTTATGTACAGTCCATCTCCTATAACAAAGCAGCTATTGCTTTTCAGCTGTGTATTTTGTAAAAGTTATGCAGGAATTTTAGGGAAAACAGACTTGCAAACAACTCTATCTGTGTCAATTTCTTCATTCAGAGCAAATATCAGTACCTCAACTTTGGTGTTTAGTATATGTCATTTACATGACAGACTTGAAGACTAAGTTTCACTGTTGGAGGTGACATCTCAAGTGTGAGATTCTTACTCAAAGGGGAAAAAAAAATGTAGATTACTCAACATTTTCTGAAAATTGGTCTTCTAAAATGGTCTAAGGTGAGAAGTAGATCTTTAAGGACTCTCACCAATTTGGAGAAGTTACCATTTTTTAATTTTAAAGTAAGTCGTTCTGCAGTTGGCTTTTACATACCATACTCTGTGTTTGCAATGTAGACACATAATTGTTTTTCATATGTAAGGCCAACTCTCAAATATATTTTTCTTAGCTTCAGCTTGATTCCACAAGACAAGCCCTTTCACCTTGAACTATATTGAAATTCTGTTATAGAACTGTAGTTAAATATTGTAGGCTCGACTAAGGAGAAGGAATGGGGCAAATAATTGTCCTAGAAAGTGTCTTTGATGATGGCTTCACATGGATTGTGATTGGATTGGAAAGCAAAGCAGAAAGGAAAAGGACTTTTTCTTGAGAAAAGGAGAATTGGGGTATGGATCTTAGGAATATATATAAACATCTGAAAGGGAGGTGTAAAGAAGATGATGCCAGGCTCTTTTCAGCTGTGATCAGTGCGAGGATGAGAGGCAATGTGCACAAATTGAAAACAGGTGTTCTGTCTGGCACAACAGCTTTACTGTGCAGGTGACTGAGCACTGGCAAAGTTGCTCAAAGAAATTGTGGAGTCTCCGTCCTTGGAGATGTTCAAAAGGTATCTGGACGTGGTCCTGAACAAGATGTTCTAGGTGGCTGTGCTTGAGCCACTGAATCAGTCTTGGTGGGACAAGAAGACTCTTCCAACTTCAATCATCATATGATTCTGCAGTGGCTGGTTAGAAGTGCTCTGGATCGTTTCTAATGAACGATTGCATTGTTACCTGCTATTAGTATAGGCAAGCTACTTTAATATGTTATTTATGCTTGAAATTTTTTGATGTTCACAGCATTCTAGAACATTTTCCCCAGGTCATCAAAACACATGGTTGCCCAGTCTAAAAGCTTTCAGGTTCAATAGCACTCTATAAAGTAAATAAAATAACAATATGAAAAACAGTAAAGCAAAAGTGACAGCAGCATGGTGCACTTTAAAAAAAAAAATAAAGTTTTCATGGTTTATCCCCACAAATGCTTCCCATAAACCCAGGTAAATGGTGGACAGTTTAGAAGATGCGTTCCCTTTCCCCTCACAAAGTAAAACAGACATACGGGCAAATAAAGGATGAAAAAGCTAGTACATCCCTTGGGAAAAAAAAGGCACCTTCTGTCTCACATACGTCACTTATCTCAAGTAACTCCAGAAGCTTTTGACTACAGACCTATGGTCAAAGTGTAAACAGTGCATTGTATTACATTATTACTTATAGTATCCACAAGGGGTTGGTTTATCTGGTCAAATTTCTAAGGCGTGTAGGATTTTCAAAAAATATAAATAAAGTATAAAGCTGCAGAATCAGAAAACTTAATGATTAATATGAGCTTGATACCTTGCAGTCTGAAACTTGATCTGGGTTCCTACTGACTTATTCAGGTATCTAAAACCTTTAAACATCTGTTGCAAGACCCTGATTTTATTCTCTTTCATAAAAAAAATTGCAGTAGTTGTTGTGAGGTTGTATCAATACAGAAAAAATGATAGTAAAATCTCAGTAATTTCAGCTGAATTGTATTCCTTATTTGTAGAATAATCACACTGCTGACAGTATTTGTGTTTACAGCAAATGCACATAGAACCATATAATCAACGTCTAATTAGCCCTACTTTATGTTATATTTGCTTAACATTAACTTTCTTAGAGCTGTAATTTTTTCCTTTAACCATTATAGCAGTTGCATTTTAATTACATTACTAACAAGACGCTCATTAACATCATGTAATTGGCAACAAAACCTGAACTAATTGAGTATTTTCTGAAGAGTTCCTATCAAAGTGTAATTCAACCATTACAAACAGCTTGGTAACTACATTTACATAAAGATGTCTAAGAAATGTTCTCATGTGCAGAAAATCAGATTTGATATTGCCATTAACAAAATGAAGGAAGTCATTACATAGCAAATCACTTCTACATTTTAATGATTTTGGCTAAACCCCATGTTTTTGTCAAGGGTCAAATTAAATGCCACAACTCTGTTCGTGCTTGTTCCACAAGCAACAACTAGTCTTTTGGAGCTGGAAAGCAGCTTGATTTTTTGTTTTGTTTTGTTTTGTTCTTGCTGGGAATTCTACTCCACAATTTTCTCAGGTTATTTTGAACTTACTTGCTAATAGCAAAGCTGAGAAACTGCGTTAGACAGACAACAGTTCTTATGCAGTTGGCTAATTCAGAATTTTTTAAACATGTGACCATCTAAAATAGATCTCCTGCCAATTTTCTTGCTCATATTCTTACATTACGACTGGACTCATTTAATTACCAATTAAAAGAATATATGTGATCCAGTTATTATTTATCTAGACTTTTTACAGGATGCTCTAAAATAGTTTAAGTGGAAACTAAACAAAAAAGCCTGCATATTCCTTTGATTCCTTCCCCACAAATCTCAATGAATGACATTAAAATTAATGTAAACGTTGAAGTGATGAGTAAAAACAGGTTGAAATGTCTAACATATTCTCAAATCAGACAGGAAAAGACCCCACTGAGATAAAATAGATATTGTGAATGTCCTGCTTCCATATTTAAACCTGAATACTGGTTTTTGCACAACAAGGACTTTAAAAAAAAGCTGAATATAATTTGAATAGAGTGTTCAATAACTATCCATACTACAGCTTCAAATATTATGTTCCTGTCTGGATTCTTTCCAAGAAACTGGAATTATACATAAATTTTAAGAAACTAGTTCTTGTTAGGATGTTAATTAGTTACTTGCACTTCTTTGTCCCTGCCCATTTTACAGTTACAGTTAACAAATGTAATTATATTCGTTTAGCAGTATGCCTTTGCAATGGACCATGTATCTTTGGAATGCAGAATGTAGTTCAAGCAAGACGGCAATAAATGCACATGCCGTGTTATATTCCGATTTTATTTTTTGCTATCAAACAGGTGTTAAATGTGCCAAAACATGTATTAACATAACACCTGCTAATATACAATCTCAAAAATGGATGCAAATATCAAATTATAAACTTCAAAGATCCTGATATTAATTTACCTGAACATGATACAACCTGGGCACTGCTATCGTGGGATTCTCTCAGAGATATACCAGATGGCTTAGCATTCTCTGAGTAGCCTACCTATTCTGACAAAGAAAAACATTGTTTGAGGAAGTGGGTCATATGTGTGTAGAGATGTTTGCTGGAAAGTCCAGGAATTCCATGATTCTGGTCAGTGTACCACTGAAAAGAAAGAAAAAGAAAGTCATAAACACACATGCTCTCTTCAATTCTGTATTAATTAAAAAATACCAGATTTTTTTGTATTGCCATATAGAAGAATATACATGTCTCAAATAAGGAACTTCTTACATGCACTGATAGGATAGGATAGAAGGGAATGGATTTGAATGAAATTGGGGTGATTTAGGAAGGTTAGATGTTAGGAAGAAATTCTTTACTTGGTGAGGTGAGGTATTGGAACTATTTGACTAGAGGAGCAGTGGTTGCCCCATCCCTGAACATGTTCAAGGCCAGGTTGGATGGGGCCCTAGGCATCTTGATTTAGTGGATGGCAACCCTGCCCATGGCAGGGATTGGAACTGGGTAGGCTTTAAGATCCCTTTTAACCCAACTAATTCAAAGAGCCTATGAAGAGCAGAATTGTTCTGTCTTCTCATTTAAGGAGTAAGAGGCACCTTTGGAATGTAAAATCTGATTCCTTTATGCTGGTTGTATCAGAATTTTAAAAGTAGACAGGCTTGGGGTTTTTTTGGGTTTTTTTTTTTGTTTTTTGGTTTTTTTGGTGCGCTATGCTCCTCTGAATTCTGCCTGTTCTAAAGCCTAACTGTTTAAACAGGTTTTTTTCTAATTTTCAACCTCAATGTGTTTGTGAGTAGTTTACTTTCACTTGATCTTGTGCCAACTGTCTTTTTGCTTCAATAGCTTTTTGTTTCCTCTGTATTTCTCCTCCACTGTATTCATAGGCAGCAATCATATTGTTTTCTGAATTTTATTTTACTAGGCTAAAAATATTCTGCTTTCATTAAGTAAGTCAGAGATGTTCCCCAGATTATCCTAACACTACTGAAACTCTACTACAGCTGAACAGTAATGACTGAAACTGCAGACAGTATTCCATGTACTTTTCCAGATACTTGACAAATGGCCCAGGTTTGCTAAATAACAGTGAAAACAGGTAATGTGGAATTCACTTGCAGAAATACCAAGTACAGGGGGACCCGTGTCTGATCCATGCTCAAGGTGTTCATTGACCTGGGAAAGTGATCTGAAGCAGAAGGCCAATATGTTTGATAAAAGATAGATACTTTTGTCACTAGTCTGGAGAAAGCACATGCAGAAGAACAGATTAACACTTAATTCAGTGTTACTTTTCCTCTGTTCATTTCTCATATATATCCTCTAACCTCTCATCTATGTGTTTCTCTGCTTGCCTGCATCATCTTCCCCAGGTAAATTTTGTAGACAACTTATTTGTTTTTTCATGTCCTTGACATACTACTTGGATACCTCATTCCCTTTTTCCCTTGATTCGCCTTCTGCCTGTAACAAGCATGTCAGGTCAAGACAGAATCCACCAGAATCACTGACAGTTTTGGTCCCAGAAGCCAGTTCTTTCATCTTCCTTGCGTTTATTAGCTATATTTTAGAAAGGAGGTTGGACTCTCATTCTTCTCCCTGGCTCATTTTAAAAGCTTCTACGTTATACTAGATAATAGAAAAGTTCTGTTAAAATACAGAAAGAGGTTTGAGGGGAAGAGCAAACAAATCCTTTGAAGAATAAATGATTTGTAAACAATAAAAAATGCAGTAAAATTGCCAGATCTTGCTGAACTGGATTCTTAAAAACATCAACAAATAACATCAACATATCAGATAAGCTTATTGATAAAGCTGTAAACCACTGTTCAAAATTGAAAAATAGTCTGTTATTTACCATTGCCTGAAAATCCACCTGTGCATTAACCAGAGCTTTTGCAATTTGTGCTGAGTTCTGAAAATGTACGTTATCTGAAAAAGGAAAAAAAAAAAAAAAAAAAAAAAAAAAAAAAAAAAGATTGGCTGTTGAAATGTGTAAATACCACAAAGCATAAAATTCTAGTGCATTAAGTTGTGTCCACTGGTTATCAAACAATACAGTTGACATAACTAAGAACGAGCAAGCATCTAATACTATGTTGCATAGAAATCTATCAAAGATCTTAGTACTGATCCTAATCAAAGGCACAGAAAGATGCTTAATGGCTTTCAAACAAAGTGATTCTGGTTCTCTATTTGTACTACCATTTGCAAACCTCACCATCTGCTGTTCCATGAATGAGAAGATACTCAACGTTTTGGAAATTCTTTGCTCTTGCCATTACAGTTGAGTTCTGTTGAGATGAAAAGTGAACAGTTCAGCAGCTTCAATTTAAAAGACTAAGTCATGGGGCTGAAAGGCTTAAATTACCCAGTGAAACAGCAATCAAGCAGTTGGACTGGCATAATAAAGAAAGTAGTAACTTCATTGCAATCTGAGATTAATAGAAACTAAATACATTTATAGGCACTTCACAAAAAGCACAGTACCCACCATGTGTCATTTTCTGAACACTGTAATTCCTGGCTACATAGAGCAGCTCTATGAAGGCAGTTTGGTATTGAGCACTACTGCTATTTGGATTAGGACAGAGAATAGACATTATTAATATAGAAACATCTATCCACATCTCCCCTGAGCAACCTGTGCCAGGGTCTCACCTCCGAGTAATGAATTTCTTCCTAATATCTAACCCAAGTATCCCCTTTTTTAGTTTAAAGTCATTCTCTCTTTTCCTATCACTATGAGACCACATAAAAAGTCAGTTTCCCCTTTCTGCTTGTAAGCTCCTTTCAAAGTCCTAGAAGGTCACCCCAGAAGCTTTTTCTTCTCCAGTTGGAACAAGCCCAGCTGCCTTAGACCTTCTTCATAAGAGAGGTGATCCAGCCTTCTGATCATAGTACAAAATCCTTAATAGAATGCTTTCTCTAGCTTCTTTAGGTTTATTTCAGGCTTGTCTGTATTGAGAGCTGGAATGTGTGCTGCTAGAGGAAGCTATAGATTTCCTATCAGTGTGAAGAAAAGCAAAAATGCAATCTGTTCCTGCAGAGGAATGCGTTCTGACTTTTTAGTCTGAAGACATTATTATCAGACAACTAAACTGGCATAACATAGCGAATATTACTGACCAAAACCTAGTAAACACCAACATTTTAACCTCTATCACGTGTTCTTTCCTAAGTTAATGATTTGCAGTGTCAAAACAGACAGATTTGTCCAGTGAGAAAATAGGAATCCTACAATTTATCATACCTAAGATTGATCAATATAAAAACTGTGAGTAACTACAGAGATATGAATTTCAGAACAGCAGCTTTAGCTGCTACAAGGGTGCCATTATGCGAGCATTAT